AAAAAAAAAAAAAAAAGAAGTTGCTGTGAGGTATGATGACGCCACGGCACTCAACCCAGGCCAACAGCTTGAGACTCTGTATCCAAAAAATAAAATAAAATAAAGACAGGGTCTTGCTATGTTGCCAAGGCTGGAGTGCAGTAGCATAATCACAGTTCATTGTAAACTTGCACTCCTGGGATCAACCAATCCTCCGGATCTTGCCATTCAGCCTTCTGAGTATCTCAGACTAGAGATAACCACAGACAGCCACCACTACACCTGGCTAGTTTTTAAAAAAATTATTTGAGGCTCGGCATCTGTAGCTCAAGTGGCTAAGGTGCCAGCCACATGCACCTAGGGTAGCAGGTTCAAATCCAGCCCAGGCCCACCAAAACAACGACGGCTACAACCAAAAAATAGCCAGGCATTGTGGTGGGCACCTGTGGTCCCAGCTACTTGGGAGGCTGAGGCGGGAGACTCACTTGAGCCCAGGAGTTGGAGGTTGCTGTGAGGTGTGATGCTATGGCACTCTACCCAGGGGATAGCTTGAGGCTCTGACTCAAAAAAAAAAAAAAATTATTTGAGATAGGGATCTCACTCTGTTGCCCAGGCTGGTCTTCAACTCCTGGCCTCAGGAGATCCTCCTGCCATAGCCTCCCAAAGTGCTGCAATTACAGGTGTGAGTCAATGATGTCCAGCCCAAAAACTTTTAATAGAAACACATAGGGGCCAGGCGAGGTGGCTTGCACCTGTAATCCCAGCACTCTGGGAGGTCAAGGCAGGTGGATTGCCAGAGCTCATGAGTTGGGACACCAGCCTGAGCTAGAATAAGACCCCATGTCTAACAATAGCCAGTTATTGGGGTGGGTGCCTGTAGTCCCAGCTACTTGGGAGGCTGAGGCAAGAGGATCACTTGAGCCCAAGAGTTTGAGGTTGCTGTGAGCTATGCTGTCATAGCACTCTACTGGGGATGACCAAGTGAGACTCTGTCTCAAAAAAACAAACCAAACACACACACACATACAAACAAGCTATTTAGAAATAAACTTTCAAATCTAATTATTATATATGAAAAAGCCTCCCAACTGTACAAACATAAAAGGAGATGTGAATAAATGGAACTATGTATTTTATTCTCCTACTAAGGCAAGATTTTGTCTAAATTTATCTGTCAATACTCTCCAAAGACCACCGGAACACATCAACATTGAACAAATTGGTTTTATTACTCTTGCACTATGGGGCATCTCAGTAAGGTGTTAGGATTTGTGCTTGTGTTGGGTGAAGAGTTTAAGGAAAAAGGGCTTCTCTCTGCATTGAATGTTGTCAGAATGGGGTATTTCTATGAACTGTCTTAATAACTCTTACCTGGAAGCAGAGACTATGCTGTAAATGGGAGGCTAATGCTGTAAATAGTAAAGAAACAACATCACTATATTGTCCAAGAAAAAGGATGTTTCATCACCTTTGTGATCTGGACAATGCTCATACTTCACCTGTGTCCAAACAAGATAATGAAGTGGTTTCATTTTTGTCTTGCTCCTGCAAGGTGATGTTCTGTGAAATAGTTTATGTTCAACAGACCCCCAAGGCCAGCTCCTGTATACCTGGGGGTGCTTTTCTCTTTCACAAATGCATAAATGCCATTTTAATCCAAATTTCCAGTTCTGCATGCATTTGTTTGATTGGAGAATCTGAAAAAACATACCTAAGTTGAGTGTCTAAACAAATAAACATTGGAATCCAAAAGAGAGTTGCCAAAGAGAGAAACTGAAAGAGAAATCTAAAATAAAATGTTAATAAATTACCAAAAAAAAGTCTTCGTACAGCAAAAGTCACCTATACCCAGGTTAGCAAGGCAAACCACAAACGGAAAAAATATTTTCAACGCATTAGTGAAAAAAGGGTTCATTGTCCTAATAAACTAAAAATAAAAAATTCACCTACCAAGCAATGTAAAAAGCGTACTTTTCGGATTTAGGGGGATTTTGTTTGTTTTTTGGTTTTTTACGAGCTACATGATAAACCATTAAAGAAAAAACCCTTGGGGCCAGGCGCGGTGGCTCTCGCCTATAATCCCTGGGAGGCGGAGACTGGTGGATTGCGTGAGCTCAGGAGCTCAGCCTAAGCAAGAGCGAGACCCCATCTCTACTAAAAATAGAAGAACTAGCCGAAAGTTGTGGCTGGCGTCTGTGCTACTTGGGAGGCTGAGGCAAAGGAATTACCTTAGCTCAAGAGACTGAGTTCGCTACGAGGTATGACGCCAGGTCACTGTACTCAAGGCGACAAAAAGAGAGACAGGAGAGACAAGAGAAGAGAGAGAGGTGCGACGGAGAGAGAGAGAGAAGACAGAAAAGAAAAAAACTCTAGTACTTGAACGCAGCGAGGCGTCTCAGGGAGGGACTCCGCTTCCCAGGAGGCTTCGCGCTCTCCGTGCCGGGTCTCCCGAGAGGCCTTGCGCGCTTTACGCACCAGCCCGCGAGCGACAGGATAGCGGCGGAGGGAGGATGGAGAGCCGCGATGAGACTATGATGGAGAAGCACCGTGTGCACTTGCGCCCCATCACGCTGCGCGATGCCGCCCCTGCTACGCTGCACCTACTGCCCTGTGAGGTGCTGGCCAGCCGGCCCGCTCCTGTGGGGCGCTTCTTCACGCCCGCCATCCGCCAGGGTCCAGACGGTGAGCGTTGCAGCGAGACTATGAACCCCGGCAGCCCCCGCGCGCGCGCTCCCAGGAGCCGGGCTTCTGGGAATGGCGGCCCACCTATAGGTGGCGGGAGGGCGGTGCTCGGGCCCTAGGGCCTGGCTCTGTCCCTGATTGAATCCCTACACCTCTTCCTCCAGGACTTGAAGTTTCGTTTCGAGGCCGCAGTCTACGGGGCGAGGAGGTGGCGGTGCCGCCCGGCCTGGTGGGATACGTGATGGTGACCGAAGAGAAGTTGATAGGGAAGCAGGACTTTTTGGGGGATTCGGAAAATAACTATCAGGAAGAGGAACGGGAGCCGGTGGCTGCCCCGGAGCCGCTGGAACGGGACTTTGTGAGCAAAGGGATAGGGTGGGAAGCGGGTGCGGGCGGGAGCTGCAGTCCGGATGCTGAGCCAGGCCCTTTTCCCAGGACCGCTTTATTGGAGCCACTGCCACTTTCAGCCGCTTCACCCTCTGGGGCCTGGAGACCATCCCTGGCCCGGATGCCAAAGTGCGTGGGGCCCTAACTTGGCCTAGCCTCGCTGCAGTGGTGAGTGAAGGAATGGGTCACTTCTGAAACTTGCTGGTGAGATGATTTAGAACATTAGAGCTGGGGAACACTGCGGGGCAGATGGAGCCTGGTCTTACTGGAGGATTCTTCTGTGTAGCGTGGAAAGAGTGGCTTACCCACCACTTTTCTCTGGCCTGTCTATAAGGGGTTATTATTCTGAGCAGGTGCGTCCCTCACCAGGTATGTAGGCCACTTGGCCACTACAACTTAGAAATCCAACAGTAGAGGTGACCCCTATTTCAGATTCACGCTCAGGTGCCAGAGGACTGAAAACCAGAAATTGAAAGCCATGGACCCCTTCACAGCAATAAACCAGCTTTTCACTTTGGAGCCAGAGTCCCATCACTCCAATAAAGAAGGTCTTGACAACATTTGTGAGTGTGTGGGCACCTTGAAGTCCTAAGCCAGTGGTTCTCAACCTTCCTAATGCCTCAGTGTATTTTCATTGTTACAAAGGGGACATGACCCACAAGTTGAGAAATGCTGCCCTAAGCGCTGGGCCCCTCTCTCACAAGAACTTTTCATGGGTCTGGCCTATAGAAACAATTTATTGCCAGGGGCAATGGGGGTAAGAGAGGCCAGAATTTTGCAGCCAATACCCACCCTACCCCCAATTCCTACTTTACAAAAGAAATTTTTACAATCATCAGCATTCTATACAGAGTGCCTCCCCCCCACCTCACTGTACACAGCTGCCTGGCTCCCTCTGGTCCCTGGTTCAGAGCAAGCTTGGGCCTGTAGCCAGTTGATCCTGAAATTGGCCTGAGCCCAGACCTCGTCTTAGTGCTGGGCATCAGTGGGCCCCTACCAGGCCTGTCCCTCCTTTGGGAGCTGTCTTCAGCCTTGTCTTCCTTGGTTTGCTTCTCAGGAGCCCTAGTCCTCCCAGCTGTCTGGTCACCACTTTCCCCTCTTGCTCCAGTCCTTGGGAGTGAAGTGCAGACACTTGGAGTCAATCCGAAGGAGCCGCTTGAGCATGGCCCGCTCATGCCCGTCCACAATGTCCTCTGACAGTGTGAGGATGTATTGGCCCTGGTTAGGAAGAGATGGCCAGCAAGTGGTCAGACCACGTGGTGCCTGCACTCTGCCCCACCTGTCTCCCCTGCCCACCTATCTACCTTGTAGTAGTTGATGAGGTTGAGGTACTGCAGGGTTGAAATGACATCCTCCTTCTTAATGCTGGTAATTTCACTGATCTCACTGTGGGAGGACAAAAGTCAGGTTCCCTGAGGGCCTTCATCTGCCCCCAGGAGTCCCAGAAGGAAGTTAGAAGTCCCGGTAACAGAAAAGGCCATGCCATGCACCCCCAGGTAGACCAAGCCAGGCTCACTTGATGGTAATCTGTGGCCTCTCCCCGCTCTCTGACTTCAGCCCCATCAAGATCTCCAGGATAGTCTGGGACCAGTAGCTTCGATAGGATAAGAGGCCAAGGTCTGAGAGGGGCTTCTCAGGAGTCCCTGTTTTCCCTTCCACTTTGGAGAGTTCATAGCCTAAAAACAACGGGAGCAGGAGGAGGGTTAGCAGTCACAAGTGGACACAAGCAACATTTAAAGCCACAGTTTGCAGAGACAGGATGCCTACTTCCCATCCTGGCCCTGCCACTTGGTAGTTCTGAGACCTTGGGTATGTGGTTTCTCTGCTCTGTGCCTAAGTTTCTTCATAAAGGACTAATGAGTATTCATTATTCACCTGTGTCCCAAGCACAGCGAGGAGTATGGAGGGCACACAGAAGAGGTGCTACAGTTAATAGAGGGTGTCAAGGGCTAGGGAAGGCTTCCAGGTAAGGGATTGCAGAAAAAAAGCCTCATGGAAAAAAAGCAGCACTTTCCCTCTGCCATCCCAGATTTGTCTGGACATCTGAGGAGGGAAGTGGGGCAGACCCCCATCACTGCTCCAGGCCTGGAGATGCTTGAGTTCTCAGTCAAATCAGTCCTACCACCTGTGACCTTGGAGTGTTGGCTGCTCTAAGACCAGGGTGATCTGAATGGGTGGTTGCAAGGAAGGTACACCAAGGGGCTTCCCAAGTCAGAATGAGGCTATCCCTCAGACCCAAGCAGCTGACCTCCACAGAAGCTCTTTCTGTATTACATGTGGCAGGTACTAGCAGGCACCCACAAAGCCCTGACCAGTTTCACATCTCTTTGGCAGGGTCTTCATTCTCCTGTCAGGGGGATGGGACATCTCTGCTACTTCTAGAAGCTCTTTCTTGTTCTCAGCCCTTTCTGCTTTCCTTCCTTTGGTACATCTTTATTGACCAGTCGTACCTTCTTGCCCAGTCTCCACCAAGCAACCCAGTGGTGAGAGGGACAGAGAAGCTGATGTTTGGGGAGATGAAGTACAGAAGGGGTAAGGCATACTTGGGTCCCTATTCAACTTTGCTGGGGCCATGCTGCATGGTAGCCATACTTACTTCCTTAGCTATAGGCCCCTCCTCAGTGAACACCCACCCACCTTCTGAGCTGCCTGGAATGGTGCTTCTGGTACTATGCTGTACCCTGCTTAACAGAACTGAGCATAGCTCTCTGGTGGTCCCACTCACATCTCATCTCCATGGATTGCTAATCTCTTAAGACTGAGTAGTTAGACTGCATTTTTTTAACTATCACCTGCTCTACTAGGTTGAGAACTTCCTGAAGATGTGACCCATCTGGCTATCATTTTACCAGTAAAATTTCTCCATTGGGCCACAACCTTGATCAAGTCAAGCCTCCTTGTTTTCACTAGGCAAACAGCTAAAGCTTCCTCTCTATCTCCCATGTCAGAGCCTGGCTATATCAAGGGTTTGGTGAATATAGAAAGATAGATGGACTTGGGTTAGGGATGGGAGCGTAAAGACTGAGAAGCAGAAGGGAGCCCCAGGGTTGAGAAGGCACCAAAGAGACTGACCTGACTGAACCAGGGAGCTGGGGACAAATCTGTGCCTTTATATGTTAACAGCAGTTTGAGCATGCACTGCCTACAAGGCTCAGGGAACAACTGGGAAAATTAACCACTGGTCCTTGCCCAAGAACTTATATTGTGGCACACAGTACCAGACAGATAAGCAATCAGCTCGCTAAACTCCTGCCCATGGCTGTGGCAGGAACAGATGAGTCAGATTTAGGAAAAATTCAGTATCACTCACAATTATCACTTAGAACCCTGGCCCAGGAACAGTGTGGGGCTAACGGAGAGAACCTTGGTCCACCTTTATTTCTGGCTGGCTGCCCAGGGTTAAGATTCATAAAATCCTGGCATGTCTGCACAAGACACTGGCAGGGGTATAGTAGCCCAACACACATACTCACTGAACTCAATCAGTAGCTTGCCATAGCCCCGGCGCTGATAGGGAGGCAGGGTTAGGATGCAGGCCACATTGTAGTCTTCTGTTGATTCCTTCTCCTGGAATAGAAAGACAGGTAAGTGTGAAAGAAGGGACCTGGCTCAAAGCAGGGCCTAAGGACAGCCTAAGTGAGCACTAACCTTGGAAAAGTAGCCCACAATGTGGAAACCTTTGCAGTCATACTCCGTCATAACATAGAAGAGGAAAGGGTCTGTGTCATAGTATAAGGTCTTGTGATCGAGGAAACACTTGGCCAAAAGACACAAATTCTGGGAATAACTCTGCAAGGGAAAAGGCCTGTCACCACTCTGGGTACCCTCCCTTGAGCATAGCCCATGGTCTAGGGTCAGCCAGGAGCTTCTTTGTGCTGTGTTCCAGACCAACAAGCAAGGAACATTCTTCCTTGGAACTTGATTCATTCCACCAGCCAGGCTGTCCCCACTACTTAAACAGTGTCTCTTCTCAGTATACCTGCTTGGTGATGGTGTTCAACCACCTGCCTCCCTGGTCAGCTTCACCCAAATGACTTCCCCTAACTCCATCAAAGCTTGGCTGAGGGGTCTCCACTGCCTTTGCTGTATTTAACAACAAACTGATGTCTCCCCATGAGGCCAGAGTCCAGCCAAAGCTCCTGAGAACAGCTCTCCCGTGTTTGACAATTTTAGGAGTCCAGCTGTCAAAAACCTAACACTATACCCACCCAGTCACACATCCTGGGAAATTATTTACTGTTCCATGATAGGAATTCTGGGAGTTAATAACAGCAGGTTCCCCCCAGAAAAACTGGATCTTGCTGCTTTCCTTCATACATAGAATTTATACTTCATTTCAGATACGGTGGGTTTTTGTTTTTTTTTTTTTTTTTAAGACAGTCTCACTATGTCATCCTCAGTAGAGTGCTGTGATGTCACAGCTCACAGCAACCTCAAATTCTTGGGCTCAAGCGATTCTCTTGCCTCAGCCTCCCAAGTAGCTGCAACTATAGGCGCCCGCCACAACGCCTGGCTTTTTTGTTGGAGTTGTCATTGTTTAGCAGGCCTGGGCCAGGTTCAAACCTGCCAGCCCCAGCATATGGGGCCGGCGCCCTAACCGCTGAGCTACAGGCGCCAAGCCAGATAATAGATTTTTAACCACCTACCAGGCACTGCCATTTGGATGCTTAGGTCCACACTTCACACAAAACAAAGAGTTGTTAACGAAGCATCCTCATCCCCTGAGCTCCATCCCTTGTAAGACCATTGCTCATCCTCTCTTCTCTACCTCTCACCCAGAATCATCTTTGTCTTTCACACATGCCATCTCTGTATCTACACCTGCCTCTCAGAATCCCACTGATTGGAATTCTGGAATTCCCTTAGCCATGCAGTGTCCTCAGCCACTTCATCCTCTGGGTCAAGGGTCAAAAATTACCTCTTTTGGGTCCTGCCTACCCACCCTCTGTTTAACCCTTGGATCTAAGTGGCCATTGGCATGTTTGTCTCCCCCATAAACTGGAAGGTGTCAGAAAATGGAGATAATGTTCAATTCCTGATCACTGTGTACCGCTTTACAGTAGGAACTCAATAAAGACAGACCAAACTGATCTCTTAGCCTGTGTTTTCCAGAACAGGAAAAAAGTACTCATCTATCATATGACAAGGCCCCACTGCCCCTCAGCCACTAACCTTGTTTTTACGTCCATCAATCTCAAAAAAAGAGATGGTACCCTTGCGGTAAATCTCATTGCCTGGGGGATGTCGCAGGTCACACTTGGTCTGAGAAAGAGAAAAGGATCAGGGAAGAAGGCAGGGTTGGGCGTGCTGGGATGCCAGCCTTTCTGGACCCCTCATACCAAGTGACGCTGAAGACACTTGAGGCTACGGCCATACTTGAGGCAGAACTCGCACAGGTAGAGGACTGGCAATGTGGTAAGTTCCTGTGGGTACGGGGAGAAGTACCACGGCTTGAGACGGTGCCGGCCCAGCTCAATGCACTCAATGTTCTTCATTCGGGTGACGATGTCGTCGTGGCTCCGGTCAGACACCAGGCTGCCAGTCATGCGTGGTGCCGATGGTATTCCATCTGAGCTGTCTTGGGAGTCCTGTCCAGGGCCAGTGGAAGATATTAGAAGAGACAACTCAGCAAAATGTTAAGAGCTGACAGTTCCTAGACAGGTTTCCTTCTTCAAGTCTACCAGCAACTGTATGGGGGAATACCATAATCCTCACTCTCCAGATTTAAAAACATGAAACTCTGGGCTTGGCACCTGTAGCACAGCAGTTATTGCATCAACCATATACACGGAGGCTGGCAGGTTCAAACCCAGCCTGGACCAGCTAAACAACAATGACAACTGCAACAAAAAATAGCTGGGCATTGTGGCGGGCACCTGTAGTCCCAGCTACTTGAGAGGCTGAAGTAAGAGAATCGCTTAAGCCCAAGAGTTTGAGGTTGCTATGAGCTGTGATGCCACAGCACTCTACCGAGGGCAACACAGTGAAACTCTGTCTCAAAAAAAAAAAAAGAAAGAAACTCGGAGAGATAATGTGGAAAAGGTGACCCAATGACTGATCTGAACCATGTTCCGTCTGACTCCTAATCCCACCACTGCTCACCACACCTTATTTATAAACTAGTCTTTAGGTGAACTCTCCACTCTGCCTATGTTTCCTCTTTTTCACATAGTTTCCCCCTTCTGTTATTCCCCACACGCACCTCATCAGTGCCCAAGCAGTTTGATTTTCGCTTCCGTCCTGGCTGAGCTGCCACTGCCCTACGGGCGGATCCATTCTGCAGATAAGACAAGTAGTAAGAATAGAAGGCTTGGCTGTGAGATGAGCCTGAAAGGGGCGGCCAGAGGGTAGAAGACACAAAGAGATGGTTTGGGGAACTCACCTGGGGAAAAACAGATGCTGGGGCTGTCTCGCTGGGCACCGGAGTCGCTGGTGAAACCACCTCCACCTTCCGTTTCTGCAGAGAGAAACCAAGAAACGTGGGTCAGACGGTAGAGAAGGTGGGACCTAAGAAGAAAGCAAGGTCCCTGGAATTGCTGAGGGTACCGTTGAGCGGTGGTTGGGCTGCAGGCAGGAGCTGGAGGAGAGCGGCTGGTCAGGCTCGCCACCGGGAATGGCCTCCCGCTCCTTGGGCAGGTTGAAGCGGAGTGTGATCTGGACCGGGATTGGCAAGGTCTTCCCGCTGGCCTGGGCGGAGGCCGGCTGTAGAAATAGGTCCAGGGTCTTCCTCTGGGGTGGGTATGGTGGTGGGATGGGGAAGGGGAGGAAGGGCCCCTCAGCGTGGAGTGATCAAGCCCCGCCCTCTGCCTACTCAAGGACACAGGAATAGCTATTGGCCTCTAAAAGCTACAACTGTAATTTGACTCCCATCCTCTATAAGCTGAATTCAGAGTGGGAGAGTGCAGCCTCCTGCCCATCCAGGAGCTCCTAAGGCCAAGAAATGAGAGAAGTAGGAGTCAGGATAGAAGAGGTAAAGCAGGGGACCTACTCACCACCTCTCTTTCTGGAGAGCCAGGGCGGGACCCAGGAAGTCCGTTCTTGGTGGGAGTCTTGGCTTCTTTCTTGGGAAACTGGATCTTCTTTAAGTCCAGCCGTTCATGGGTCACCCATTCATCCAGGCGTTTGTTGACTGCATCAGTGGAGATGACTCAGGAAGGAATGCCAAAGACAGCCCCCCAACCCTAGCCTGCAGCCTCACCTCACCCAGGCCCAGAACTCACAGTCAATGTAATGGACGTAGAAAAGCTTCCGGCCACTGATGTCCTTCACGCTCAGGATCTCGGCCAGGGCTATGGGAATAGCACAGGCAGGGACTTTAGACTGACCAGGCCATGAGACTCCACCCTTTTACGACCTGAACTCCACCCCCCAGGCCAGAGCCCTAAACCCCAGCACTTCGAAGCTTTCATCCAAGTCTCCTTCAGTCACCAAGCACCACCCCTCTCCAAAGCCCCGCCCTGTCCGTCTCGGAAATGCTAAAAGCCACGCCTCTCCCTTAGAGAATCTGCGCCCCGCCCTCCCCAAGATTCCAGAGACCCCTCCCACTCCCGGGGGTTCTGTTGATTCCCCCGCCCCTCGCCCTCAGGTTCCTTAACCCCGCCCCCCGACGTCACTCACGCCACTCATCTTCGTTGTCCTGGTTCCGCCGCAGCACAGGTAAGCGGCAGCCCTCGGTTATCTCCCCCTGGGGAGACAGCGCGGCGCCAGGGTCGGCTACTGGGGGGCCTCGGGTTCTACCCACCTCCCCTGACTCCCTCCGCCCCGCCCCGGGCACCGGACTCACCACCTCCGCCATCTTCCCTCCCTCCACTGCCACTTCCGGCCCCTCTGGCAGACGTCACTTCCGGGATAAGGCACGTTGCAGGCCGTTGTACCCCTGAAGCGGCTTTAAAAAAAGACCTTTGAGAGACGCCACGTCCCAGCTGCAAGCAGGGAGCTGGCATGTCCGAATGGCGGGAGAACGGAGTGTTTTAAGCCTCGGATCGGGTCCTAGGTGGAATGTCACAACATGCACAGGAATTAGAGGAAAACTGAGTCTGTCACGTGACGCCCACCGAGTGCAACGCCAGCACGTGGGTGCAGCGTGGGTCACGTGGTCCTGTTTCGTCTTCGCCGGAGAACTATACTCGGGCGTCTCCTAGCGGCTGCAAGAGGAGTGGGTTGCGCGTGCTCAGCGGAAGCGGCCTGGTGGGCGGGAGGTATTAATAGTTGGGAAGTTGGAGTGGTGAGTGGAACCGAGCGAATTTGAGTATCGGGTGAAGTTCGTGGTCTTCATTCCAAAGGCATAGAGAGGCACGGAAAACTTCTGGCATTGTTGTCTTGAATATTAGGTTTCTGATTTTTAAAATAATACATGCTTTATTCATTCATGCATTTTAGTGAGTCCCTATTGTACTCTAGGCACTCTCCTAGGAGTCTGGAAAACATTAGTGAACAAAATAAAGACCTCTGCTGTCATGGAACTTACATTCTTGGGGAATCGGGGTAAGAGATGGGTATAAACAAATATATTAAAAGTGAGTGATTTAAGTCGGTCAAAGTGAGAACTGTTAAGGGAAACCAAAAAAATTGAACAGGGTAAGGAGATGGACAGGCAGGCTGTAATTTTGAATAGAGTGCTGAGGACATGCCTGCACTGCATATTATTTGAACAGAAAATTTAAAAGTGTTAATGGGTGAACCATACTTAGACATGGGGGAAAATTTTCCAGAAAAACAGACCACAAGGAGGAGGAAAGTATAACCTCACATCGTTACCAGGAATGTCCACAGTGCATTTTGACCAAGTGTCTTGAAGGAGTCAGCAAACTAGGGCCTGTGGGCCAAGGCCAGCCATTGGCTTGCTTCCTTACAGCCCAGGGACTGAGAGAAAATTGAAAAACAATTTTTTTTTTTTTCTTTTGAGACAGAGCCTCAAGCTGTCCCCCTGGGTAGAGTGTCATGGCATTACAGCTCACAGCAACCTCCAACTCCTGGGCTTAAGCGAGTCTCCTGCCTCCGCCTCCCAAGTAGCTGGGACCACAGGCGCCCGCCACAACGCCCGGCTATTTTTTGGTTGCAGCTGTCGTTGTTGTTTGGCGGGTCCGGGCTAGGGATTCGAACCCGCCACCTTAGGTGTACGTGGCTGGCGCCTTAGCCAGTTGAGCTATAGGCGCCGAGCCGAAAAACAATTCTTTAATAGTTGGGATAAATCAAAAGAATATTTTGACCAGGCCTGGTGGCTCACGCCTCTAATCCTAGCACTCTGGGAGGCTGAGGCAGGTGGATTGCTTGAGCTTGTGGGTTCAAGACCCGCCTGAGCAAAAATTGAGACCACCGTCTCTACTAAAAATATAAAAACTGAGGGAAGAGCATTGCTTGAGCCCAAGAGTTGGAGGTTGCTGTGAGCTATGACACTATGGGCACTCTACCCAGGGCAACAGCTTGAGACTCTCAAAAAAAATTTTTTTTTCAAGACATGAAAATTTTAAATTCCAATGTCTATAAAGTTTTGTTGGAACATAACCACATTAATTTGTTTATATATTGTGTATGAATCCTGTCACATTAAAACTGAATAGTTGTTCCTGAGGTATATGATCTAAAAAGTTTAAAATATTTGCTATATAGAATGTTTGCTAGGCTGGGCACAATGGCTGACTCCTGTAATCCTGGCACTCTAGGAAACCAAGGCCAGTTCAAGAGCAGCCTCCTGAGTAAGAGCAAGACCCTACCTCTACAAAAAGTAGAGAAGTTAATTGGACGTTGTGATGGGCACCTATAGTCCCAACTACTCTGGAGGCTGAGGCAAGAGGATCGCTTGAGCTTCAGATTGCTGTTAACTAAGGATGCCATGGCTCTCTACCAAGGGTGACCAAGTAAGACTGTCTCCAGAAAAAAAGTTTGCTAATTCTTGATTTAGACTATTATGCTAATTGGTGAATTGTTTCTTAATGTGTATACTGTCCTGTGATTTGCTTGTTCGCTTACCCACAGAAATTGAACACTTGTCACTAAATATTCCATAGCATTATTTTCAGGGCTAAGTAGTGTTTTGTTGTTTAGATGCAACTTAGCTACCATAACCAATTTCCATAACCATATCCAATAATTTGAATATTCAAATTATTTCCAATATTCTCTATTATAAACAATGCCACAAAGAGCATCCTTACACATACAGCTTTCCACATATTCATCCCAGCGTGATTTGTGGTGAAGATATAAGTAGAGCAGGCTATGTTTACATTTCAAAAGGATTGCCCAGATGGCAATGTCCTTGGATTGGATAAGGTAAAACCAGGACAAGAGACCAATCAGAAGGTGTTAAAGTAAGCCATTCACGAATGACAGTCAATAATGTTTATCCAGGCCCTCCTAAATACTGTAGTAAGCCCAGCTTTGATTCCTGCCCCCTTCCAAAGTCACCAGTGGCCTCCCACATTTCTAATCCATTTTTTTTTTTTTGAGACAGAGTCTCAAGCTATTGCCCTGGGTAGAGTGCCGTGGCATCACAGCTTACAGCAACCTCAAATTCTTGGTCTTAAGCGATTCTCTTTCCTCTTCCTCCCAAGTAGCTGGGACAACAGGTGCCTGCCACAATGCCCAGGTATTTTTGTTGTCATTGTTGTTTAGTAGGTCCAGACTGAATTTGAACCTGTCAGCCCTGATGTATGTGGCTGGTGCCCTACCTACTGAGCTATGAGTGCCGCCATGCACTCTCTTTCTTGAAATACTCTTCTTGGCTCGGCGCCTATAGCTCAACCGGCTAAGGCGCCAGCCACGTACACCTAAAGGTGGTGGGTTCGAATCCCCAGCCCGGACCCGCCAAACAACTATGACGGCTGCAACCAAAAAATAGCCCGGCGTTGTGGCGGGCGCCTGTGGTCCCAGCTACTTGGGAGGCGGAGGCAGGAGACTCGCTTGAGCCCAGGAGTTGGAGGTTGCAGTGAGCTGTAATGCCACGGCACTCTACCCAGGGAGACAGCTTGAGGCTCTGTCTCAAAAAAAAAAAAAAGAAAAAAAGAAATACTCTTCTTGGCTTCCCAGGACACCAGACCCTCCCAGTTGCCTTTCCACTTCCCTGGATGTACTGTATCTTTGCTGGTTCCTCTTCCTGACCTCTGAATGTTAGCAATCAAATCTAGCTTCAGTTGTGGATTTTGTCTTCGTGTTCTTAATCACTCCCTTCATCATTGTCTTGTGGCTCATGGCTTTAAACATCATTTATGTGCTAAGGTTTCTCAGATTTGTATCTTCAGCCTAATCTCTCCCCTGAGCTCCACTCTCACTGTCCACTCAGCATATCCATTTGGATGTCTACTGGACTTGTCTAAAACCAGACTCCTGATCTTCCTTTCCAACCTATTGCTCTCACTATCTTTCGTGTTCCTGTCTGTGTTTCTTGTTTCTCAGACCAAAAGTCGAAGTCGTTCCTCACTTGTCTGTTTCTCTCATGTTCAGTCTGTCAACAAATATTCCATTCTCTGTGCCTTTGCTGTAACTGCTTTGGGCAAGGTATCACTGTCTCTTTCTAGAACTTTTGCCATAGCCTCATATTTAGGAACAAGATTCTCTAAAAAATATAATTCACTGAGGCACCCGTAGCTCAGTGAGTAGGGCACCAGCCACATACACCAAGTCTGGCAGGTTCGTACCCAGCTTGGGCCAGCTAAACAACAACTACAACCAAAAAATAGCCGGGCATTGTGGTAGGCACCTGTAGTCCCAGTTACTTGGGAGGCTGAGGCAAGAGAATCACTTAAGCCCAAGAGTTTGAGGTTGCTGTGAGCTGTGACGCCACAGCATGTTACCAAGGGTGACATAGACTCTGTCTAAAAAAAAAATATATATATATATATACACACACACACACAGACATATATAAAATTCAAACCATGTCACTCAGATCATTCCAGCCACATTGGCCTCTCTGCTGTTTTTAAGACATTCTAGCCTGTTCCTCCCTAGGCCCTTTACTGCTTCCTGCCTTTGACATTTTCTTTCCATTTATCCACTTGGCTTTGTCCTTCACTTCATTCAAGTCTTTGCTTAAATGTCACCTTCCCTATGAGGCCTTTTCGGACCTCCTGATTAAATTTGTCAACCCCCACCCACCCACTGCTCTTCACATAGCACTTATCCCCAACTGTCAAATAATATGCTTCCTTACTCATTTATTTGTTGTTCTTCCCTCACCAAATTGTAAGATCCGTGTGTGCAGTATTTAGAATATTTTGGAATGTTTCGTCCACTGCTACTTTCCCAACTTCTAGGACAGTGCCTGACCCCTGGCAGGTGTTCAGTTAAAGCCTGGCAAATAGACAAAGTGTGTGGCCTCACCAGGGAACTAGAGGTGTGCACTGACGGTTCTGGGGAGGAGTCCTTTACGATGTCCACTGTATCCTTCAGAGGAGACACTGACCCAAGGGCGGTTAGAGCATCTGGTGTCTGACCTATGATTATACAGAGGTTAGAGACATTCTAAGCAGTGGGGATAGCAACAGCGAAGACAGAAAAAAAGGAGAAAAGAAACGGGTTAACAGGGCATCAGTCATTGAGTACCAACTATGTGTAACCCCTAAAGGAGCAGCATGAGCAAAGACAGACAATGCCCTTGCTTTGACGGGCAGCCACAGACAGCTAAACAAAGCAAAAATCAATCCCATTGGATAGTAGTGAGTGCTTCGATGGTGATAAAACCACTAGTGTGATCTGGCCAGGAGTGCGACTGGTCGGTGCAGGCCACTCAGGTTGTCAGTAAGGATCTCTGCTACTGCCAGTGATGGGACACCTGCTTAAGCAGCTTAACAAAGGGTGGGGTCAGGAACTGACCCCAGGGAAGCAG